AAAAAAAAAAAAAAAAAAAAAGATACACCTTCTAAAAAAGTGAGCTTACAAAACCATGCAGGGGATTACTAGGTACACTTCCTGTAAGAGGAAAGTATGTTCAATGAAAAGGAAATTTCAAACATGACCTTACACTCATGAAAAATTTTAACAAGGCCTTTACTTCATTTACTTTTAGCTATTCCATAAATACCAGAAGAGAAATTGGACAGTTTGTAATGAAATTTAGAAAAATTTCTTTTTCTGTAAAGCAAACTTATAAATCTTTCCCTTTGTCTCCTTCCAATCGTCCTTCACTGTGCTAAAGAGCTATTCAGTTCTTCCAGGTTTTTGGTTAAGCGGGTAGTTTCCAAGCTGACTGGGCTTTCCAGGTAGGTAGTTCCTGCACAGGGTTTTCCGGTCACTGGATCTATGACTTGTCCAACTTTGAAAACGATCTCGGCCAGTTCATGTTTCACATGCTTTGTTCGTGGGACAGGTAGAGCTTTGAGAAGCACGATATCCCCAACTGTGCACTGCTGAAGAGCATCATGAGCAAAGTAGGTTTTTCGTTTATTAAAATACTGTTGAGAGAAGTAGGAACAAATCGGTAGTTCCCATCTGTGATCTGACAACGCAGCATAGAATATAAAAAGTAATGCACAGAAAACAAGCTGGGACTTGGGAAAAAAAGATAATACACTCAGGAGGGTTCCAATACAAAAATTAACTGCTTAACTTCTAGAAAATAGCAATGACTTTCCCAGAGTGGATCATGTGCCTGAGCTCTCCAGCCTATTACCTTCAGTATCTTTGTCTATTAATCATCATCCTTCTCTATACTATTTAAACTCTTCCTTCCTAGTGGAGCCTTCTCTCCAGCCTTATGAACATGCTACTCTCACTACTAGCTGTGTGATTTGGCACAGTCACTGAATCACTCCAGGCTTAGTTTTGTTCACAACCTAAAATGAGGCTCCACTATCTGCATCTCTAAAGTTATCCAGATAATTAAATGTTCTAAATATACACACCACACTTAGCTCCATGCCTGGCTCGAAGTACTGCAAACAAGCCACAGATGCTCATAACAACCTTGCTGCAGAAGGTGCTCTCATTTTACAAATGAGAAAACAGGCTCTGGAGTTAGGTAATGTGCACAGCTAGTAAACAACAGTCAATATTCACACTAAGGTCTCCTGACTCAGGCCAATGATAAGGCTGTCGTCACTCTTCAGCTTGTTCCTGTGTTGTTGTTAATAAAAGACAACTTTATTCTTCTCCTTAACTCATCTGGCCTCCCCTTCCCTTAACCTTGTCACCTCTGCTCCTGTGTTTTTGATCCTAGATAACAAAGAACATTTCTACCTACCTGTGTGCCCAGTCTTGAATGCAGAACTGTCCTTGGCACTTTCCTCTCCCTCCCTTGCACATCTGACAAATCAAGGACTCTGGCCCTTCTTTCCGAAATCTTTTCCCACTGCATTGCAATTGCTTCAAGGACTGTTCAGGTTCTTATCATTTCCATTCTAGACTTTTGCAATAGCCTTCTTACCTATTTCCTTACCTCCTGTCCTCATCTCTATCTTTATGTTTCCAAGTGTGTCTTTCCTTTGCTTATAGGATGAAATCCAAAAATACTACATAAAAGGCCTTTCTCAGCCCAGCTCCCACTGTTCTTGTATTCACTCAACAACAGTCAATGCCTACTCAGGATCAAGCTCTGGGCTCAAACATGCCAAACTACTTGTTGTTCCTGTACAATGTCATGCCCTTTAATGGCTAAAAGAACTTCCATATACCACTTACCATGGCCAAAATGACTCCCCCAAATGTGGTCCTTTGGATAAAAGCCTTTCTGAGATTCAGCTCAAATGTCTTTGAGGATGCTCTCTTTCAGCAATGTGGAAAGAAAGAATCAGCTGTCCTGCTTTCTGCTCCCAGTACTTTGCACACAGAAGTACTGTATCAGTTATCAGACTGAGTTGAAATTAACTGTATGTGTCCTCAGAATTTGAGAATGAACCACGATTAATTCACTTTGTTATACCCACAGATCAGCAGACGCTCAGTGCATCTGTACTGACAGGGAATGGTTTCTCTGTTCAGAACCTGTAACATGTTGGTGATTTATCAATGCCTTCTGAAAACAGGGATATTCCTCACCTTTAATAAGTAGGGATCCAAAACAAGCCTGGTCACCCTCACTTTAGCTGTTTTTTGCATTGCTGTCCCAATCACCTTCCCCACGATCCATTTGGCATGGACGGATGAACGAACTACTGACATTATGTGGCTTTGATCACCTGAAAAACAAATTTCAAAGTTTAACATTCTGGTTGTTATGACTCACCAAAGGAATTCTGTTACTAGAAGTGCTGAAGATCAGAAACAGTTTTTGTTGACCTTCTGGAATCACCACTTTAGAGATACTTACACGTTTCACTATTTACTTAACCCAACCTCCCATCTTTATACTATTTACAAAGCTGTCATTTTAACTTAAGTCGCCGTGTCCCCCTGTACAAAACGGGAATAACAACAGGGTCTGCTCACAGGAGTGCTTTGAAAGTTTAACCTGTAAGGCGCTAAATGGCGCGAATAAACGTGGGCTCTTAGTGGCGTCCCTTTCTTTCCTTCCGCTGGCTTGCGTCTCCCCAGAGGCTCACAGTCTGGCCACACGAGCGCACAAGGCCTTGGCGGAGCGGCCGGGGTGTCCTCCCCACTTAAGGAGACTTTGCCTTGGGGCTGCCTTCTTGATCAGTTAATGCCGAGTCCAACCCGCCTGGGGTAGGCTGGGGGTGATTGATCCTCCCTCCCCGCACAACCCCGGGGTCAGGCAACTTCCCTTGCTTCCAGGCTCTAACCCGACGACACCTTGCAACCCGGGGTTCACCCTCCGCAACAGCAGCTCCCATACCTCGACCTCCTCCTGGATTTACTTTCACAGCGCGTGTCCTACTGAGGGCCGGTCGGAACGTGATGACGTCAGTCCCTTGCAAGTCGCTCCGCCTCGGACCGCTCCTCTCATTGGCCGCGTGTCCCCTTAGCCATAAGCGGGCGTAAGGGCAAGGCTCCGCCCACTCCCCCTTAAAGAGAACCGTAGACCCTGGTCATCCGGGGAGACGTACATCTTTTTTTCTTTTAATTTTTTTTTAACGTTTATTTATTTTTGAGACAGACAGAGACACAGCATGAACGGGGGAGGGGCAGAGAGAGAGAGGGAGACACAGAATCGGAAGCAGGCTCCAGGCTCTGAGCCATCAGCCCAGAGCCCGACGCGGGGCTCCAACTCGCGGACCGCGAGATCGTGACCTGAGCTGAAGTCGGACGCTTAACCGACTGAGCCCCCCAGGCGCCCCTAGACGTACATCTTCTTTCTCCACGCTGTGGGCGGCTGGAACGTGGAGTATTCCGGCCTTTCATTTAACTATTCTGTTCGGTTTCCGCTTTTTAAGCTGAGCTCCCAGGCTTGGACGAGGCCTTCCAAATCAGAGGAACCTCATTCATTCATCAAACACTGAAACATTGGACACTAAGTGCATTCTACCCCCACAGCTGCTTTTAAGATAAACTTCGGCAGGTTTTTGTGCCTAATATGATTTTAGGTGTTATTTTTCAATATCTGTGAGACGGAGAGAAGTCCAGTATCAGCACATATTTATGTGTGACAATTATGAAGGAGTTAGATGGGCCACGAGCAGACTGCTTGATAACGCCTTCTCAGATAAAAAGAGGACTGAGAATGTTTTAGGAAGTTAAGAGAAACAGAAAACAATAGGCTACTGGCACAGACAATTTGAAGACCAAAATATGGGTGTGGTCAATTGTCTTTGACCATTGAAACATCTTAGCAACTGGTGAGAGAAGACTGGGAAAATAAGAATTCACCCATACATTAGTTTGTCCAACACTCATTTCTTTCTTAGCAAATAGTTATAGAACATTTCTAAGACTCTGTGCTAGGCAAAAAGATGAATCGAAGAAGACTCCCACTCTCTAAAAGCCCACAAAACCGTGAGTAAAACAACCAGAGGTAATGGGAACCTTGAGAAAAGAGTGTGTAACTTTGCAGAGAGAGGAGACTTGATCAATACATAGCCCCTGGCCAGGGTCTATAGCTTGAGAATGGAGGGACATGGGATGTGGGGAGGACATTTGAGGCAGAAAGGAGAGCATGTGCAGGGGTGCTGAGGTTTGAGAGACAGTACGCGAAGGAGTCTGATGCTACCAGGATATAGGGTTAGGAAAATAAAGGCAGGGATTGAAGTTGCTCAGGGATAGGCCTCTATCTAGGAAGCATTTCTTGTTTAGGGCCTCCCTTTTTCTTCTAAGTGATAAGAAGCCTTTGAAAGATGTGAATACTTTAGCTAGCTTTTTTTTTTTTTT